GCCTAAGGCATTCTTAGTATCATATCTCAATAGTTCAACAGATATAACCACCTATACATATTATTCTAACTCAATATATATAGAACTAATAACATCAATCAACATACAATATTCAATAGATTCACGTACCTAATCTGTTAATGTTCACTATATCATCTATCAAACAACAAGGTTTCACAAAGTAAACCACACACGCCGCTACATGCCTTGTGTTTGAAGCCATCGAGATAGGGAGCACTCAGTGTCAGCCATGATTGGCGCCATTCAACCCACGTTCAACCTCATTTTAGGTAGAGATGATTATCTCTCCTCACGTTTGACGTTACTACTTTGACGCTTAACATCAATTTAGGTTGATACAATTCTTTCTCCTCACACTCACTGTCATTCAAACTATGTTTGACGTGATCAATTTAGAGGTTTTTTTTTTTTTTTTTTATCTCTTCTTAGCTTTGAAAATTACAACATGTGATCAACAACAACTTCGGGAAAGAAATTAGAGGTCCACTGTGAAATTAGAAAGAAGAAAGATCACATTGGGTTTCAAAGTGTCTTTCTCTTGCTCTCTCTCTAAGCTCTCTAAGAAAATGACTTTATGAAACTGAAATTTCAAAACAAACATTAAATACCTCCCCTCCAAGTCAATTGAACCTCTTAGTAGAGAAATCCTCAAAATCACCCAAAAACTCCTTAGGAATTCCTTAACTTTGAGAATGTCTCAACCACACCTCAAAACACTACACACCATATAATTAATTATAAAAAATACATTAATTAATAAAAGAGTTAATCACCTATACACTGTCAGTGTAAAATTTTTTACACTGACAACCAATCATATATTTTAATAGTGTCATGTCAGTTGCTTATTTAATGAAATAAAATAATTTAAAAGATATGATTAGCTATCAGTGTAAAAAAACTTTACACTAATAGTGTATATGTGATTAACTCTTAACAAAAACACACAGTGCTATAATCTATTTATTAAAAAAATTTAATTTTATAATTAGATCGTTAAAATTTAATATAGATAATATTAATTTATTAAATTAAGTAACTCTGTCAATGTATACTTTTGAAGCAAGTGAAAAATTTTCGATGTAAAACAAAAATTGTAATCATTATTTTTTTAATATCAATTATTTGTCTGACAATACACTATTAAGGTTATATCGATATCATTAACAAATGTGAGATTTCTATCATGCTCTATTTATATTCACGTTGAGGACTTGATATATCAAATATGAAACTTGTGAGATTAAACATTTATAAGAAGTCTGGTAATGGTTCGATAACGAGTGACTCAATATAACAAAATAGATTTTTAAGAATTTATAAATGTGTTTTTAGAAAATTTCTACTAAAATAATACTTTTTATTTTCAATAAAAAAATTTGAAAAATATTTCTCTCTTATATCTAAACAAACTTTAAGTTGGGAATTATGTATACTCATATTTTATTAGTTATCGAAGTGAGATAGTGAGTTATTTACCATTTTATTAATTCCAGGTGAGGCAGGTTTAGCATACAGCTCTAATTACAAGAAATGGAACTATCCATTTATTGGCCAGCGGGTTCTTGGCACAGCCACAGCCACAGCCACTGCTGCAGCGACCAATCAACTGTGAATTCCCATTCGGGCTGCCTCCATTTGTGGGTTTTGAGATTCCAAATGTTCCTTACTCTTCTAAGAGGAACACATCATTTTTACCATTTATAACACTCTAGGAGCACCTTGCCTTTTATTTATTATTCTTTTTTAGTAACTCATTTTAAGCTTTTTTAAGTTGGTCAACACTTTCTTCATTTCTCTCTTTTTTTAAATGTTTCTATTCATTTATCTTTATGAATTTATAATAACATTAAATAATTTTTTTATTTCATTTTACGTACCTATTTAAGAAAACCAAAAACAATTCTGTTATAAATAAAAATGTTATTTATTTTTTAATTTGTATATTGTCTTTTAAAGTACTAGTAGACGAAAAACCGAGTTGATGTTATTTTTTGCCGTGAAATATGGACCGTTTTCTTCTCTAGCTAACCATCAGCGTCGCGGTACCAGAATCAATGTTTATTTAAGCTTTTTAGTTTTAAATTTTTTATTTAAATATTTTAGTTTATGGATGACAATTAAGATCATGCTCATGAATACTTATTTAGCATGATCTTAATTTATTTGTAGTTATAATTTTTTTATTATATTCTAATAATTATTCAGATGAAGGATATGTAAATTTTTGTTTTCTGTTAAAATTAATTAAGGATGATAATATTTTCTATTTGTGCTGTAAAAAAATATATCAACATTGAGTAAAACTCTCAAATCCTAGACTGGAAGAGAATATCATTAGCGATTGGGTATACACAACTTCGACCTTCAATTCTCAATATTTTATTATAATTATTATTTATAAGATTTTAATCTATAGAAAAAATGTAATGTACACAATAATTTATATAACAAATTTACAAACTAAGAAAAAAAATGTAATAAATAATATACTAGATAAAGATAAACATAATAAATTGTTTGCAGCAACAATTTAAATAGTATTCACGAGATTATAAGTTCTAATTTTATTATTGTTATTGTAAAAAAAAAATATGAATTGTTATATAAATAACACAAAATTACTAATTTATATATTCATTATATATATATATATATATATGCCTTTTTAAATTTTTTTTTATCATATCACTTACTATATTTTTTAATTCGTTAACTTTTCTCCCCTCAAAAAAAAAAAAAATCGTTAACTTTTCTTCTCACCAGATGCATTCTTTTTCAAGAGATGTACTTTTATTATTAATTTTGATACAGGGTTTCTCAGCATGCTTCCAAATCCCATGTACTATCTGCATCAAAAAACAAAATCCCATGTACTATACATAGTATTTTTAATCGAAAAGGGAAAAGAAACCCATTGAGCCTCCTTAAATTAAGGTGAAAATAACCATAAAGCAAAGCGTTACAGTATCGGATTCGGATGTTTCTGGTACCCTTCTTTATATTTGAGTCATAGTCTTATTTTCTCGTTGAATTTAATTACTGATACTTTCTATACTTATCTTCTTCGATATATTTTAGTCCTTATAAAGTTCTAGAGCAAATTCTTTTAATCTTTATATTTATTTTTAAATTTTTTAAGTTTTCATTGTTATTTTTTTTAATATTATCTATTTTGTATTAACTTATAGAAGTTTTTAATTTTGTTAAGGTAAAAAAAATGGTGTCACAATATTGAGATATCACAAGTGAGAGTATAAGAAAATATAAAATGTCAAGAGACTTAATTTAGAATAATTTTAATAAAATAAACTTGATATCAAATATAAAATTGAATTAAGCTATCTTACCCTTTGAGATGCCTCCAACGTAGCAAGGAGATTAATCACTGTTATTGACATTCTAAGAATAAACTAAAAAAAATATATAAAATTGAATTAATGCCTTTACGTCAACATGAAAGAAATAGTGTTGTAAAGAAATAACAATAAAGACTAAAAGAAATAAAAAAATTACAAATATAAATATTTAAAAATATACCTTAAATTATAAAATTTAAAAAATATTAAAAAAGATAAATATAGAGATTAAAAATGTCTATTTTAAATTATAAAGATTAAAAGGTAAAGTAAGTAAAATTATAAAAATTTTAAAAAATACTTTAACTATTATTATTTGAGGAGTACTAATAATATATAATCAATTTATTATGTTTATTTATTGAGAAGTATTATAGTAATATACTCTCTATCATACTATTTTGAATATACTTTTTTTATTGGTTATAATTTATTGAAAAATATAAAATTAATAAAATTATTAAATAGGGTGTGGGGCTCACCAACTTTTTATTTTTCAAAAAACTTAAACTAATTAAAGAAAATGTGTCACATAGTATTTTCTGACATTTTTCTTAATTATTTATTATAAGTTAAAATATTTTAGTCCCACTAACTTTTATATTTTTTAATAAATTTCAACTAATTAAAGATAATAGGTCATCCTAACATTTATCTTATTTTATATAGTTTACAATATTTTTTTAATCTCCATAATTTTATTTACCTTTTCTTTTAGTCTTTATAGTTTAAAATATATTTTTTTAATTTTTATATTTATTTTTTTTCAATCCTTTTTAGTCCTTATAATTCAAGATAAATATTTTTAATTCATATACTTGTAATTTTTTATTCTTTAAGTTCTCATTGTCAATTTTTTTATAACATTATTCCTTAATGTGACAGAAGTATTAATTTTATTTTATGTGTTTAATGTCAAATTATTTTACCAAAACTAGCAAAAAATTAGGTTTCTCAAAATTTTATGTTTCTTTTATATCTTCATTTATGATGTCCATTGTTGAAACACTTTTTTTATTTTCAAAAAATTAAAGTCCTTTATTACATTAACATAAAATAAACAATATTACAAAAAAATAAACTATAAAAATTAAAATAATTAAAAAAATCTACAAATATAAAAACTAAAAGTATTTATCATAACTCATAAGACTAAAAGGGATTTAAAAAGATAAGTACATAGATTAAAAATATATATTTTAATCTATAAAAACTAAAAAATGATATAAATAAAAGTATAAAAATTTAAAAATATTTTAATCTTTATTATATGTAGCAAAAGAGTTACTCCTTTTTCACAATGATGATAATTTTAATATTTAAAATTTATATAAAAAAATTATTGATATTTTTACTTTACATATAATATTAACTAATTTTTTCTAATTTATATTTTATAAATGATTTCACCATTACGATTCAAATTAAATAATGTATGTGTTGAAAGAATATAATATTTTTGTAAAATTGTAGGAAATATAAAAAGTGAATAATATTCATTTTGTTACGTTGGTTGAGAGGAGAATTATGGTGAATGTGCATTGAAAAGTAAGAATGAAGTGAATGTTAAACATATAATATAACACGAATGAAAATGAATTATGGTCTGAGTGCCAAACTTTGTCCTCTTCTGGGGCACAGTGCCATCTTCTTTTCTCATCATCATTTAACCCTTCCTTCCTTCTTCCTTCATCCCTCTCGCAAAACAAAACCCTCTTTCTCTCATCACTTCCTCATGCTTTTACTAACTACAACACAACTCTCACTTTGCTTCCACTTTTCTGGATAACATATTTCTCATTACCTCATCCCACATACTCAATCATTCACTTTTTGCTGCTTCCATCAAATTAAATTCAAATCTCCACACTCCCTCCCTCCTCTTCTCACAATATCATACTACAACACAAAAAAAATAACTAAATTATAGAACATGCACCCTTTTACCTTCCAAAAGCCCTAGCCACTCCTCCAACTCCAAACAACAACTTAATAACAATCACTATCATCAAGATCCAAATCATCAACCACCAGATCTCGCCAATGGAGACTGTGCCAACCTCAACAGCCACCAACACTCCGAGCAGGTACGAGAACCAAAAGCGCCGAGACTGGAACACCTTCTGCCAGTACCTCACCAACCACCGCCCGCCGCTCTCCGTGGCGGCCTGCAGCGGCGCGCACGTGCTGGAGTTTCTCCACTACCTCGACCAATTCGGGAAGACGAAGGTGCACAGTCCCACGTGTCCCTTCTTCGGCCTCCCAAACCCTCCGGCGCCCTGCCCTTGCCCTCTCCGCCAGGCGTGGGGCAGCCTCGACGCCCTCATCGGCCGCCTCCGCGCCGCCTTCGAAGAGAACGGCGGCAGGCCGGAGACCAACCCCTTCGGCGCTCGCGCCGTTAGGCTTTACTTGCATGATGTTCGTGATTTTCAGGCCAAGGCCAGAGGAGTCAGCTACGAGAAGAAAAGAAAGAGGCCAAAGCAAAACATCGCTGCTTCCCCCAATGCCACTGCCACTGCCACTTAGAAACCAAACAAACCTAAACTCCATTTTTTCAATGGAAGGAATATATATAATTAGTATCATCGATCGCATGCATATGCATATGATATGCTCTATGTCTATCTTTTAATTGCCTATTTAATTTTATCTTGTCAAAGTTGTGGCCTCTTTTATATGTGCTATATGTCTTTTGCAAAGATATCGGTCTTCTGAGTTCTTGAGACGGTTTTGATGATATATTTAGCTTTCCTGTGTTTGAGGAATTAACTAGCTAGGAGATATATAGTTATAATATGCCAAAGGATGAAATTGATACACATTTCCGGCATGTGCGTCAATCTCTCCCTGCCAAACCCTTTGTGTTGAAAAAAGGATGTTAGAGTTTACACAGGATTTATTAATTGCTTTGCCTGATTGTGAATCAGTCGTGCCATACATACACACATGTGTGTGTTTTCACTTTTCAGAGACACCTGAAAAATATTTCCATGATTGCACTGCACTTGTTGAATGCTGATGAGATTTGTCCACCCTAAAATGGAGCGGATTGTGGTGGAAAAAGGAAAGTTAAAGAGTGGAAGTGATAGTTTGATGGATGTGATATAAATGAGATTGAAGTGAAAGGAGGTGGATGATAATAATCTTCTTTGTTACTTACTGGAAATTTTTTTTTCTAATTGATGTATTACTGTCTATTTCAGGTAACAGTTAATTCCTTACAGCAAGGTTTTTATTTTTTCAATAACACAATTAATTAATACTTTGCACTCTTGCTGTGTTTTTCTTTCCTGCATCCATGCAGATCTGATGGGAGAGAAGTTTAATTTAGTTCGAATGATGTATAATATTCGTGTTAAAATAAAGCTATAGGATTTACACATACAAGCTGGAGTAATAGTTAACTTCCTAGAGTAACAATGCAACCTATATTATTGAAAGGAAAGCATTGATTGTGTAACTAAATAACTCGTGAGCTATATAATTAGATGTATAATTGGTCAAATCGAGTTAGGTATATATTAGTTTAAAGGTGATTTATTGAAATCTGTCTTTAGACTGCAAGACAAAACCTAGATTATCTTCTCTAGTATAGCTGCCAGCTAAAGATGGACATGTCAAAAGTAACTAGATATGGAAGAACAGTTTTTGGAGAACTGACACTGAGGGTAAGTTATTTGCCTAACCCCCTATAACTTGGACAACGAGCCCTTAAATTTGATGAAAAGTGGTCTATATGTTAGGCTTATAATGGACTGTCCTTGTATGAATATATGGGTTAGGTCATCTTGTATAAGAGAAAGCCCCTCTTATTCAAGTACCTATATATTTTAATGTCTAAATCCAATATAAGTGTTAGTTTCTTGGTAAGATCATAGAAGGTTGATTTAATTAATTTAAATGGGGGGCGTTGGACTAATAATTATTATTGTCACTTTCAATGATTCTACACATGTCAAAGTTTAATAAATCGGAAAAGAAAAATTAATTAGAAATTTAAAAACTCAATTTTAGGAGACAAAGTATTGCTCTTTTAATTTATAATGACTATAATTTTTTTTAAAATATAAAAAAAATTACAAAAATAGTTGCAATAAAAATTGAACTCAGATTACCATATTTTTAATTATCATATTTTATCACTATTCAATCACTAAACTAATCTTAATGATTTACAATGACTATATGATAATAAATGTAGCATTTTTTAATATCGCAATTTTATTTAAATAGTTTAATCTTTTAATAAGTTTATTATTTTTAAATTATGATAGTTGAATAATTTATGATGAATTAAATTAAGAAAAAATTAATTAATATTATATTAAAAAGTAATTTGAGACTTTTTTAAATATTAAAATTATAAATATTATATAAATTTGGAACATTCTTTAAATATTAAAATTGTATTTATTTTGCGATAAAAAAATGAATTTGTACTCAAAATATAATAGGTTATGATATAATTTAATAATATTTAAAATATTAATATTTCATAATGCTCCTGTCAAAAACATATTTCATAATAGTTTTTATATTAATAGGATTATTTAATCAGTATTATTTTTTTAATTTAAAATCATATAATTTATATAGTCACTTCATTACAGGTGGGCTGGCTTTATATTTAAACTATAATTTCATTTCTTTTATATATGTTAAACAAAATGAACTGAATTTAAATTAATGGTAATATATTATAGTATACTCAATAGTTTACTTTTTTAAGCAAATTTGATCTAAATAATTATCTATGCGTACTTCAGATACATGTGAAAGAAATTATATAAATGCATGTATCTTTCACCAGTTAATTCAAATATAGTGTACTATGGTATCTTATATTTAATTTGTTATTATTATTAGATATATATAACTCTTACCCAAATACTTTTTTAAGATTCTAATCCCATCACACGTTACAGTAGTTGGTCATGATTGAATTATGCAAAATTTGTCATAAGTATATTACTATTTGTCTAATTTATGGCTTCTGAGACTGAGACACTTGATTTTACACCAATGGCCCATTGTATCCTTGCTTGTTCACCATTACAAACTAATTTTTAAAACTGCTTTCTATTCATTTAAATTTAAAATTTAATATGATATTTTTACTGATAATAATAATATTAAATAAATTTTATACGAAAATGTTTAATAAATTTGTTAACAAAATTTTAATAGATTTTTTTTT